GTATGCCTCACAGGTGTGCCTCACAGGTGTGTCTCACGGGTGTGTCTCACAGATATGCCTCACAGATGTGTCTCACAGGTGTAACTCACAGGTGTAACTCACAGATGTGTCTCACATGTACCCCTCACAGGTGTGTCTCACAGGTGTGCCTCACAGGTGTAACTCATAGGCATATCTTTCTGACTTTGTCAAGTCCACCCATCAGCACCCCAGCCATCGTCAGTAGGGTGCAGGGAAATGAGGGGGGAAGGCATGGAACTGGTGCAGAGTGTGTCCCTGGGCAGCTACCTCTGCAGGTAAGGAAGTGGGGGCATTTACACATAGCTGCCATCAGTCACGGGCTTAGGGCTCCTCCAGGGGGTGTTGACTCCCTGCCACCCCTGGTCCTCCACACCTGCAAGCACTGTGTGCCCCAAGGGAAAGGCATGGGTAAAGCTATGCAGGTGCCACAGGTAGAGGCTGGGTGAGTGCACTCATGTTAGGGTGAGGGGCATGTGGGGGAGCAGACAGTGGGGTCCCTATGCCGACCCTCACTCCCACTAGCACCCCAAACCCTCGTCCCAGCACCCCTCCACACCACACCTGCTCCCCGCGCAGAGCCTCCGGCCAGTCCATGCTCTCTGGACAGGTGGTGCCTCAGAGCCTGGGGTCACTGTGCCCCACACCCACCACAAGTGAGCGGCTCAGCTCTGTGGAAAAGGAGGTCCCTGGGGAGGGGAGCGGGGCTGGAGAGTGAAGTGGATGCTCTCCGACAGCGAGGGGAGCACGGCTCAGGGCAGGAGGGCAGGGGTCCAGACTGGCGTCAGGAGGAACTGAGGGGTGGGGGTGCAGGCTGAGGACTCAGGAAGTGTCTCCCCAAAGCCCCAGCCCTGGGCCCCACAGTTGGCATTTCCCTCACACCCAGGCATGGTTTGGGCTCAGCATCGAGAGCCCAGGAGACAGGATGCCAGGTCTGGAAGCCGCTCTGGGACTGGGTGTGAAGCAGAGGACCACAGTGCCCGCCACAGCACCTGCCCTCCCCACGTCCCCCCTCCTCTCGCCCTCAGGCAGAACTCACTATATTTAGGAAAAGGGGAAGGCCTCCGGGCAGATCCCCGAAAGAAAGCTGCTGCATGACTAACGGAGGCAGGGACATCACGGCACAAGGGCACGCTCTGCACTCGGCCAGCTGGGCCCATTGTGGATGGCGCAGCTGCTGCCAGTCAGATCCGCTGCCCAGTTGGGACAGCTGCAGCAGCGCCAGCCCAGCGCCCACGTGGAAGCTTCCCTGGAGCCGGGACTTGTGCTAAGGAAACTCTAAGCACGAGAGGTGTACCCTGGCTCTGTGTGCACCATGCACACACGTGCATGCACACGAACACGCACCCACACGCATGCACTTGCACACCAAGCACACTCATGTATATGCACATGTATACACACATACACACACATTTTGACCAGCTAAATGCCATAAAAGTCAGAACCACACACAAATCTTGCATCCTGGTTAAAAGTTTAGTGACGATATAGGCAGAGAAAAAATGAAAACTGTTCAAAGAAATCTCAGGCAGTTTCCCTCACTCAAGAGCCCTGGCGTGTGACTCCTGGTCCTCGGCTGAGAAAGGCCTGGACAATCTTTCAGCTAAAACATCTGCCTTCATCACTGAGGACAGGGCCAGGCACTGGGACAGGGTGACCAGCTCCCACCCCAACCTGCCTGCCGTCCAGCCCACGGCACACATGGACACAGGTGCCCTCTGCGTTAAGTGAGGCAGACCCACCTGGGTGGACTCCTCCAATTCTAATTCAACCTTTCTTTTCCAGACTGTGACTCACAAAGAAGCTAATATTTGTATGACACCCAAGGTAGATGGCCACAGCCCTCTGCTAGAGGCGCCTGCTGCCATCTGGGCACATGGGTCAGGGAGGATCTGCCAGGTTTCCTCACCAGTGCAGTGTGGACCCAGAGACATAAATAAAAGTGCCCACAAGGTAGCAATCAGTACTTCCATATTCAAGGAAGCTGGAAACACCACCATCTGCAAGGTGTCACTGGCTCATGTCACCTTCACCCCTTCGGCCTGAGAGGGGCTGGCCCAGGAGCCAGGGAGGGTCCCATGGTGGAGCAGGCAGGCCCAAGGGCTTGTTGCTGGTGACAGCAGAGAGGAGGATCCGGGCTGTGCAGCCAGGTGGCCCTCAGTTCAGGTCTTTCTGCCACCGACAACTGCATGGCCTCGGAGTGACGTCACCCCAAAGGGTGTCCCAGCTGGGGTCCCCATAGGTGGTACAAGCCAAGGAGACAGACGTGGAGGTTATCTGGATGACTTCTGACTCAGGGCTGGGGAAGGTTTGTGTGGAATTGCCATCTTCGGTGCCAGCGCCTTCCTTCCTCCTCTATGCTCCACCCCCTGCCTCCTGCACGTCCAGGGATGCCCCTGTCTGGGCTCGGGGCCCCTGAGCACCAGTGTGGCTGGCCCGGCCTCCCTCTCACTGCCTCAGGAGTGAGCTGCATCTCCTGGGGGCAGGACTGTGCCCCTCACCCCTCCCCACTCTGCGCATCTGAGCCCAGGTTTGGGCACCCAGGAGGACCTGCCCATAGGACCGACCTGAACCTCAGGCGGCTCTCCAAGCAGAATGGTCCTGTGGGATTACCTCCCTCCCTCGGGGATTAGGCCTCAGGACCTGTTCCACGGGAAGCCAAACGCCTGACCCCCCGCCATGACCCCTGGGATGGGCCGCAGCCCCCAACCTGTGGCCCCCCAGTCCCTCCCAGCTGTCTGAGTCTCCCGGGGAGGTGGGACGCCTCAGGTCTGAGGGGAGGGAGGGGCAGGGCCCTGCTGGTGTGAGTCAGCGCCGTGCCCACAGGGCTCCCTAATCGTCGCTAAGAAAGACTTTGCTGAGGACAGTGTTTTCTGGGCGCCCATGTGCATGGGAGCAGAGGCTTCTCGGAGCAGGCAGCAGGGTCGCCATGAGCCTCAGAGAGGAGCAGGTGAAGAGCTTCCTGGACGGGAACCCCGACTTCGCCCACCAGTACTTCGGGAAGAAGCTCAGCCCCGAGAATGTGGCCGCGGCCTGTGACAACGGGCGCCCCACAGACTGCGGCAGCCTTCAGGAGCTGTGCCAGGTGGAGGAGAGCGCGGTGCTGTTCGAGCTGGTGCAGGACATGCAGGAGAGCATCAACATGGAGCGGGTGGTCTTCAAGATCCTGCGGCGGCTCTGCACCATCCTTCGCGCCGACCGCTGCAGCCTCTTCATGTACCGCCAGCGCAACGGCGTAGCCGAGCTGGCCACGCGGCTCTTCAGCGTGCAGCCGGGCAGCGTCCTGGAGGAGTGCCTGGTGCCCCCTGACTCCGAGATCGTCTTCCCTCTGGACATAGGGGTCGTGGGCCACGTCGCCCAGACCAAGAAGATGGTGAATGTCCAGGACGTGACAGAGGTGGGTTGCACAGCCTGGGACGGTCTCACGGGCGACGCGTCTCCTGCACCATCCTGAGTGTCTAAGGGTCAGCTCAGGGGATCAGGCCTCACAGGCCCTTGTCCTCGCACTGAGAGGCAAGCGTCCTAGAGCCCCCGCTTGTCTGTCAGGTTCTAGGTGAGCTCGGCAGGGCGGGGCGGCCTCCTCAAGCTGGCTCTGTGCTGCTGAGTTCATGAGACTCGAGGCCAAGGGTCTCAGGCTCAAAACTTGGTCCTCCACTTTTACATCTGGGTCCCGTGGCCAGGGCCGCCACAGTGCCCATGGGGTCCACGTGGACTGTGAGAGGACCCGCAGCTTCCAGGAAGGTGGCCCAGGTGGAGGTGTCTGGGGAGCCCTGTCCTGGGGGCCCAGGTCTTCCTGGGGACCAAAGTTCGGGGGCAGGGAAATTTGGGAAGAAGGGTCAGAGCCGAGGCTGATGCTGGTGCCCAGCAGGGAGGGGCATCAGGAGACCCCAGAACCCCAAGCTCCCACCATGGCAGAAGCAGCTCCACCCCTTGGAGGCCATGCTGGCCGCTGGGGGAGAGCAGACCGGGGTTCCAGGAGGAGGAGCCGGCTCAGGGCAGGGTGGGGAGCAGGGCATAGAGTGAGGAGAGATCAGAACAGACTCGCCGTGGGTTACTGTTGGTGACAAGGAGCAGGGTATCCATGCAAGCTGCTGGAGCAGCTGGGACAGAGGTGCCGGGTGGGCACGAGCAGCAGCTGAGTGTGAGGTGCCCACTGGGCTCCTGCGGGTGCAGTGGCGGGAGACTCTGGGAAGGCGGGGGGCCTGGGTGAGGGGGCTCTGAGGACCCACAAGGGACCTGGGACCACCACCTCCAGACCAGCCCCCAGAGGCCGCCCTCATCCCTGGACACCAGCAGCCCCGGCTATAATCCTCTTATAAGTCTCTGCAGTAAACAAGCCGCCTGCAGCGACCTAAATATAGTAATCTGCAGGGTTAGCTTCATCTCCACTTCCAGTTTAAGAAATGGGTCACCCATGTGCCACATGGAATATCGGGACCATCAAGACCATGAATGAGCAGCCGGACAAGAGATCCAGCAGTAGTGGGTCCTGGGCTGGGACGTTAACCACTTCCCTCCCTCCCTCCCTCCTTCCTTTCCTCCCTTGCCTCCCTCCTTCCTTCCCTCCTTTCTTCCTTCCTTCCTTCCCTCCTTTCTCCTACGTGCAGTCCCCATGGCAGTTCCTCATCCTCAGCCTATCCTGAGCCTGGTGGGTCCTTCTGGCCCCCAGGCCTCTATCCCTGGCTACTGCCCGCTGGTCCCAGCCTGGGCTGGCAGCTTTCAGCTCTCGCACCTGCTGTGAGGCCTCAGACTGCTGGGCCCAGGCCCTCTATCCTTCCAGGTGCCTCGGCTGCACCTGCCTCTGGACAGACCTCCTCCAAGGCCACCTCCCACCCAGCAAGCTGGGGCTCTTCCCCAGGGCAGGGCACGGGTTCACCTCCCTGTGTGTCACCTCCCTGTGTCCCTGGGCTGTGCTGGGACTTATTTATCTCAGACTAGAGGGACAGAGACCAAGGTCAAAACCAGCAAAAGTGCACATTTCCCTTCAGTGCACCCAACACACTGGGCATTGTCAGGGGTGGGCTTCTGGGTCACATCCTGCTTTGCAGAGGGGACTCAGGCAGCGAGTGCCTCCGAGAGAGCCTGGGTGGCGGGGACCACCTCTGAAGAGCAGCATGTTCCTATGTGCGGGACCCTCAGCCGAGCAGGGAAGGCAGGCACCCGCCACACCTGGGCCACATGCCACATCGGCAGTCTCTCACTCACCTGAGCCCCGGCTCCCCACCCACACTGGGAAAACAATGTCTACCTCACAGCAAAGCTGCGGTGGTTAAACCGGACCCTGAGCACAGGCAGCTCCTGGGCACAGGTAGACTCTGAGTGCAGGGAAGGAGCCCGAAGCCCCTGGTGACATGCTCCTCCCAGAGATGCGAGTGTCTGTCTCCTGGTGTGAGGTGTCAGGCCAGGTCGCAGGCCTTCTTCCCCCAAAGGCCTGTCCTCGGGAGCTGCCAAGGACGGAGCCAGCTGCCCCAGGCTCTGCTCCCACTCGCTGGCCTCTGGGGGTCCGGGCAGTGCCAGGCCGCATGGGAGTCGGTCCCACTCACTCTGACCAGGGGGCTCCAGGGAAGCAGAGAAGCCCGGCTGGACGGTGGAATGGAGGGCAGAGCCTGAAGAGGCCTGAGCAGAGGCTGGAGGCCTTTATTTAGGATGCACATTTCTGTCCCTGCACCCCAGAAAGGGTAGGGCAGCCAGGAGCCAGCAGGAATGCACAGGGCTCCGTCCCTGTGGCCTGGGGAGTTTGCCGGCTGTCTTCACAGGTAGCAAAGGGCTGGGCCGAGGTTGGGGTTAGGGTTAGGGTCAGGGTTAAGGGCTGAGCGAAAGGGTGGGAGGCACACACAGGCTGAGGACAGCAGGGAGGGAGTGGCTGAGGCCAGGAGTCCGCGCGGGCCAAGCTGGGCCAGGATGGTGACCCCAAGCACCCGTCCATGCATGGGCAGCAGAGCAACCAGAGCCAGAGGAGAGACTTTGGCAATGAGCGAATGACATGAGACTGGACACAGTGCGTAAGGGCGGGCAGGATGTTTTCACGTGGGACCCCGCTGTCTCTTTATCAGGGCATAAACATTCCCCGTGTTCTCCAGGGAAGCTGAAGGGGCAGCAGGCAAGCCAGAATTTGGCACGAATGTTCCCAGGGAGCCATCAGGCTGGGTGTGCCACTCTCAGAGGCCTGAGAGGGCGCAGGGAGGGAGGAGTGAGGGGTGACCACTTGCAGAACCAGCTGCTCAGAGGGGCAGAGCTTCTAGCCAGAGCCTGCCAGGTGGCCACGCCTGGATCCTGGCTACCTGCCCAGCCCTGTCTGAGGCTCTGTCCACCTTGCTCTCGGGCTGTGTGGGTCTGACAACACGCCCAAAGGCTGCAGGTCCTGGCACTGGGCCCAGGGGGTGTCTGGCATGGCGGGGGGTGCTGGGAGCAGTGGGGCCCAGGGTCACCCAGTGAAGGCCAAGGGTGGCTCCTGCAGCTGACCTCGGCTGGGAGAGCCGAGATGGGCCCAGCAGACCCAGAGGCGAGGCCAGGACGGCATGGCCTGGGCACAGCGAGGCCCCCGCAGGAGGGAGGATGGCGGATGACAGGGCTGTGTGAGCATTTTAAAGACAGTCCTGAGTGTACTTAAATGACGAGGGGGTGGCTGTGTCAGCCTTCCGAGTGGGGGGTGGGCCCCAGAGACAGGTAGGGGAGGCCTGTGTCTGTTACACAATTTCCTTGTGAAACAGGAGCTGCGAAGGTGTGTGGGGTGGGGAGGGGGGCAGGCTGAGGGCTGAGATCAGGGTAGGAACCGGCCGAGCAGCGGAGAAGTGAGGCTGCACGTCCGACTACGGCCTGTGTGCCTGTGCAGTGCCACCAAGGGTCACGTCGAGTGGACCCACGTGGCAGCTACCACTTGAGGGTTGTATTGTGCTCTTTCCAGAAACACTGGCTTAAGCCCAGGTGTGGAGCTAAGACCACCCACCATGGGAGGACCCGGGTACAGGAGCTGGTGAGGTTGGCAAGGATGGGGCTGAGATGATGGGTGCCGGGCAGAGAGGGAAGGAAGCCACGGCAGGAGGGAATCTGGAACATGACAGGGACCACGAAACACAACGTCATTGGCACCGACGGCTTGCGGGGGAGACAGACTGTCCAGACGGCCACATGTCCAACGGCCACCCTAAAGCTGTGAGGAATACGTGTGCTAGGCTCAGGGGACCAGGGTGCCAAGAAAATTCCCTCCCTTGGGGAGCACCCATTGGTTCAGTTCCAACTAGCAGGAGCCTCGTGGCAGTGGCTTCGCCAGCGAGGGCTTTAGTGTCCTCCTGTGACAGGATGTTGGTGCCACTGCTCCATGCTGCTGCCACTGCCAGGACGCACCTGTGTCTTCCTGCTCAATCATTCAAACATGGATTTTCCTGCAGTGCCGGGCAGCACGTGGCTGCAGATGGCAGCTGCATCTCCAAGAGTCTGGGAGGGAGAGCTAAGGGGAGCTTGGCACCGGCCTCGTGCGTCCCTCGTGAGAACATCACAGCCTCTCCTGGCCCTGGCAGGCTTCCTCTGACCTCCCGTGGGCCCAAACCGTGGCCTGGCCGCCCTCGCTGCCAGGGACACTGGAAGTTGATGTGGGGCTTCTCTGGGCTGCCTGGTGGGCTGAGCATTGCGGAGGGTAAGGAGAGGCGCCAGGGGAGTCAACCCTGTGTCTCCACAGGACCCCTAGTCCTGAGAGCCCTGGGAAGAGTCCCTGTGGTGATGATGACACGTGTAAGGAGCATGTGCAGGAGCCCCTCATTCGGCTGGCACAGTCGCCTGCGACAGGCAGGGAGCGGGGTGAGGAGCCGTACAGGGCTGGCTGGAGGTCACACAGACCCCAGCCCAGCTGGGCTGACTCCAGAGCCATCCACCTTGGTCCCTGCACCAGGGCACTCTGACCTCATGTAAATAAATGTCAGAACCCAGCAGGACGAGGCCGGGGGCCCACTCTTCAAAGGACAGAATCCTGGTCACCTAGAGTTGCCTTGTCTTCCTAACACGCAGCACCTCGGGGCTGGGCCCCTCTCCCCTGGGAGAACCTAAGGCCCAGGACAGGGAGGCCCTCTGTATCTGGGGGAGGGAGGGCCGCGGGCACCCTGGGGCCAGAGGTAGGCAAAGCTCTCATCACGGGTGAGAAGAAAGTCCCACGGAGGGCAGGGGCCCCCATGGAGCAGCCCCCTGGCAGCAGCGGCCAGGGAGGCCTGAGGGCTGTGGACAGGCACCAGGGAGCTGGGACCCTCACCCCCAACTCACCTGCACACGTGTCCTGATTAAAGCTTTCCCACAAACAACCCACCGATAGTTTTCTTTTGGAGAAGAGCGTGGGGGATGCTGACCGGGAGGGGCTGAAGCAGGAGCGCGTGGCCTGGACTAGAGGCTCTGGGGATGGGGCGAGCGGGATGTGCTCAAGAGGCGTCCAGACGGCCAGCCCAGCGGAGGGCAGGCAGGTGTGGGTGACCCCTCCCAGGTCTGCCGGGGGAGTGCTGGAGTCATCCACCCAGAGGTGGGGGAGCCAGGCTGGAGCGCAAGGATCCTGTCCCCATGCCCGAGGCAAGGCCACCTGAGTCTCGGCACTGAAATGGGCACGGCCTCCACAGAGCTTCGCGGCCACCCTGGGAGTGCGTTGGGCTCTAGGTCCACAGAGTGACGGCCTCTCTTCCTCCCTTGCAACACAGTGTCCCCACTTCAGTCCTTTCGCTGATGAGCTCACGGACTACGTGACAAAGAATATCCTGGCCATGCCCATCATGAACGGCAAAGATGTCGTGGCTGTGATCATGGCTGTGAACAAGCTCGACGGCCCGTGCTTCACAAGCGAAGATGAAGATGTGAGTGTCAGGGAGATGTCCTCGCATCTCCGTGTACCTTTTTTTTTTTTTTTGAGACAAAGTCTCACTCGGTTGCCCTGAGTAGAGTGTCGTGGCGTCAGCCTAGCTCACTGCAGCCTCAAACTCCTGGGCTCAAACTCCTCCTGCCTCAGCTTCCTGAGTAGCTGGGACCACAGGTGCCACCACCACACCCAGCTAATATTTCTATTTTTAGGAGAGATGGGATCTCGCTCTTGCTCAGGCTGGTCTCGAACTCCTGAGCTCAAGCAATTCTCCCGCCTCTGCATCCCAGAGTGCTGGGATCACAGGCGTGAGCCACCGCGCCCCGCCTCTGTGCACCCTCTTTTTCCGTGTCTTCACACGTGTCTGCCCGCATATGTCTGTGTGCATATATGTGTGTGTGTGTGTCTGCTCGGCTTGGCTCTGTGTGCTCACCTGCACACTGCCCCGTCCCTGCTGCACATCTGTACGAGCCCATGTGCCCACCCTGCACGCCTGAGCGTGTGTGCGAGTCCACGCCTGCATGGCTCCTCCCCGGGCAGCCTCAGGGTAAGCCTGCATCTCTGCTGCAAATGCACACCTGGACACACATCTGAAAACTGGAACTTTAACTCCGGTTGTTATAATTTCTGTTTCAGGTTTTCTTGAAGTATCTGAATTTTGCCACATTAAACCTGAAGATCTATCACTTGAGCTACCTCCACAACTGCGAGACTCGCCGAGGCCAGGTACCTGCGTGCGCCGTCCAGCTGGGGCTGGTCCTCCAGACCCCAGCCTTCTCGCCCTCCTGGCTCACAGACGGAGGTGACATTCACCTCTGAGCATGCCTCTGACCAAGTAGGTCCAGGTTCCTCTGTCCCATTTCTCTGCCTGTCCAAAGACAGGTGGTCACAGGTGGTATTGTGCTCACATGGGCAGGTCCTGGGGGAGGGGGCACTGCTCCAGGGAGAGGGGGGTCTCGTGGCTTTCATGGTTGTGCTGAGCTGCAGGTCAAGCAATTCTGCAGTGCCTGGACCTATCTGCCCCATGTACCCCCTGGCCAGGGTGGTGTGAGGTGCCACAAACGCAGAAAGGCCCCTCCCCTTCTCAGAAACAGCCTCACCCCGTCGTGAAAGGGGCTGGTGTGAATTATAAATGAACGTGTGGACGGAGTTGGTGCTGGGCAGGCTGAGTTCCCCGTTTGGCCCTGGCTGGGATGTTGGAGACGACTCTGCTCTCCCTGCCCTCCAGGGAGGCTTGGCGGCCCCATGGGGTCAGGTGTGCCATGGCGTGTGGGGAAGCACACTGAAGGTGGCCTCCAGGGCAGGTGGTCCCTGGCCCGCGGGAGCCCTGTGGAAACGGTGGCGGGCAGCAGGAGAGAGCTCTGGCCTGGGCGGGGAAGGCCGTCCACAAGGTAGCCTCCGGGCTGAGCCTCAGAGAAGGTGAGCGAGGCCAGTGCTTCCCACCTGCTGTTTGGCCGCCCGGCCCTGGTGACCTGCTGCAAATCTGTTACCATGGCAGGAGGCTGCTGTTCTTCTCTCAGCGTCTGCAGAGCAAGGCTGAGTTTGAGGGCCACCTCCTGACCCCAGAGCTGCAAGAGGGGCAGGCCAGGCAGGTTCCGGGAACCACCAAGGGACCCCTGCGATAAAATCCACCAGGCAGACACCACGGCCCAATCCCAGAGTGTGTCTCCCACAGGCCAGGGCTGGGGCTGGGATCCGCAGACCAGGGAGAGACAAGGTGGGCATCCTGGCACTCACAGTGTGGCCCATGCAGGAGGGCATGGGGGCTGTCCACACTCCACAGAGAGGAAGAGCGTGGCAGGGGCTGCCAGCCAGGAGGAACTGACAGCCAGCGGCCAGTGAGACTGAGAAGTGCAGCCTGGAGGGTGCGGCAGGAGCCTGGGGTGGCCGGGCAGGGCTCAGGGTCAGGCCATGCTGTCAAGACCATCTGCTTTCCACCTGGAGTGGGTGACCTGAGGGAGGGGCAGGAGGCCCCAGGGCTGGTCCAGGGCCCTGGCGGGAGAAGGCGCCGCCCGGGGTGGGGCCGCAGGAGCCTTCGCCAGGACGCCAGGAGCGAGGGGGGACCCCAGGAACACCCGCAGGCCCCATCCTTCTGCTTGTCACCTCAGCAGCCTCCCCTGCTGCACCCCACACTGCCACACACAACACACGCCACACACACCACACACCACACACACCTGATACCACGCACCATACACACCACACACCACACACACCACACACCACACACACGACACACCACACACACCATACACCCCACACTGCCACACACAACACACGCCACACACACCACACACCATACACACAACACACCACACACCACCCACCACCCACCACACACCACACACACCACACACCACACACCACACACACCACACACACCACCCACCACCCACCACACACCACAC